AATTAATTTTATAATTTTATTGTTTGCTTTAAATTTCTCTTGTTTGCCTTAGAATTTATTTTATCTTACTTTGTTAAAATTGCATATCTCAAAAATTGTATTATTTTTGTTTAAATTGGACCAATTTATTAAAAAGTTTATATTTTGTTAATTAAACCCTATTAACCCCTCTCGGATTGCCGCGATGACTCCATTTAAAAGAAACATCAAATACATAAAAGGAAAAAAAAATCTCCAAATTTTGTTTCCAAATGGGGAATAAAATAAATTATCTAACCTTCATCGCTTCCTTTTTTTTAGTACAACATGTCGGGGTGGGGATTCGGATTCACAACTTTTTGGTTGGAGACATATGTCAATTACAGCTAAACTATGCTCGCTTTGACTAACCTTCATCCATTTCAATATATATTATATTCTTAAATTTCTTTTGATATTCAATTAATTTTATCTTAAAAAATATATAAATCCTATTATAGTCATCAATTTTTAGATATATTCTGTTTTGATAATTAATTTTTGAAAGTTCTATTTTAGCTTCAAACTTAAAAATAAATAAAAGAAAATAAAAAAATAATTATAAACTTTCATAATGTCTATAGACTTCGAAACGCAACCATTTTGATCATTAGTGTATTATTTGACCACCTAATTAAATTCACCTTTTCAATACTCATTTCCAGCCCGCCCATCCAAAATTGACAGTCATGTTAACACATAACTATAAATACTCAAAGCGAGGTTACTGATTTGTTAAAACCAAATTTAAGATAAGTACACCCAGTAGTCATCCTCTGATTGACACGAGACAATATAATGTGGAAAAAAAAATCTTAAAACGAAGACTAACAATACATCTCTGACCCTACACAATACCGGACCCTCCTTAAGTTTATTCCAAGTTCTCAGCCATTCATTGAATTTGTATTATTAACGTTTGAAAAATCTCGATCCCCAAATAGAGATTCTTTGAACCTACTTCCATAAACCATAAAATGGAACAATTATGAAGATTTCTTTTTAACTCAACAATATGTAAAGGTAAAGAATCGAACAATCAACTTTCAAGATAGTAATAAATGTTTTATCTCCTAAGTTATTCTCAAATTGACACGAACCAATATAATGTGGAAAAAAATCTTAAATTAAAGACTAACAATACATCTACGACCCTACGCAATACCGGACCATCCTTAAATTTATTCCAAGTTCCCAACCATTCATTGAACTTGCATTATTAACGTTTGAAAAATCTCGATGTCCAAATAGAGATTCTTTGATCCTACTTCCATAAATCACAAAATGAAACAATTACGAAGTTTTTTTAGTTCAAAAATAGAAAATCGAACCATCAACTTTCAAGATAGTAATAAATGATTTATCTTCTAAGTTATTCTCAAATTGACACGAGAAAATAATACGATCAAAACGTCTAAATTTTAACCTTAACCCTCCATATTTATTCCAAATTTCCCAACCATTCATTGAATTGAATTCCCTTTTATTAACGTTTGAAAAAAAAATTCAAAACAGACACACAACTGTGGAGGAGACTGTTGACTTTAAGTGGCGGAGATTTGGTCGCAAGGAAGACTTTGTAGTCAAAGTCTCCAACTATGTCCGGCTACAAAAATCCCCCCGCGTGATTTGACCAATCCTCCTCATTAATTATAAATATTTCAATTCCAATTTTTCTTTTTATTTTGTATAACTTTTTTTATAAATATGAAGTGACGAATATCCAGACCAATTTAAGTACACCTCAATTAATCTTATCAAATAATCGTCAAATCCCTTACAAACTAATAGATATAAACAAATAGCACATACTTCCACTAAAATAGGTTGGAAGTTGTTCTAAAATTTTTTATATTATATATATATATATATTTTATATTTTTTTCCATCTTATGATCTATGTGACATTCATTCCTACTTTAATAGGATATCTAACTTTCAGTCATCTTCAAACCAGAAGTACACATGGTAATTAATTAGTTGAAGTTTTGTATATGTTGTTGTATTGAATTTATTTTCGAATGGTCATTCCCTGTCATATCTAATCGTACTTAACTTGATCAATAAATTTTCATTGACAAATATTGTATTGACGTTAATAGAACACTCGACAAGACCATACAACTATTAGTTAAACACTAAAGTCATTTTCCCTTATTAATATATAATTTATTGTGTATTTAAAAACATATTCATACTAATTATTCACACACATATATAAAACAATTTTTGACCATTGAAAAAACGAAAGGCCACCAAATTATTTATTGAATCGTTATTTAATGTATACATATATATTTATTTTTAGTTTCTCTAAGTTTTACTCTTAAGTTAGACTTAAAAGTCTCTGCTGACTGGTAGCTATATACCAATACTCACCCTCTAAAGTTTCAAAGGGAAGGTTTTTATTTTTTATATTATTATTATATTTTGGGCAAAGAGGAAGTTTCAAAGATGGGGAATTATTTTAAAAAAATTTTATTTTTTTTTCATTTGGGGAAAAAATATTTTGAAAAGAAAAAAAAAACTTGATAACAAGCTTGTGTCCCATGTTTAATTCAACTGTAACTATATTTAATTATTCATATGTAATTTATGCGGTTGATAATTTAGGATCCATTTGGTAAAATGATGTTCAACATAACAATTTTGACATATGTAGTTAAGCTCATTTCAAGTTGTTTCAAATTGAAGAGAGTTTAAAAATGAAAATTGTCTTTAATACCTTAAAAATTTGTCATTTTCATTCCAAACGTTTCACCTTATTTAAGTCATTGTTCATTTTCAAATGAAAACCAACCATGTGTTGAATTGACAATAACTCATGACGTGTTTCTGTAAATTGAATAAATATACCATATTATATTATATCATATTATTGAAATTTTATTTAAGGAAATAGACAACGGAGATTTTATTGTTCCGACTTTGGTGGCTTTCCCTAACAAAAAGTAAAAATCTTTTAACTAATTGACAATTTGTTTAAGTGCAATGTCTAATAATTTGTGAAATTGAGAATTTAAAAGTTGAACTTTTTGGTCTACTTAAATAGTATAGATGTGATTATAAAATATTAAAAGGGTAGATATGAACTTTATAAAGTCCGATGAAATTGAAAAAATATGATACAGCTGATTTAGAACGAAATAATTCAAGTTGTGACAATATTATTGGATTTTGATCTTATTATCTCTATATTATTTAAGCTTGTTCTAAGTAACTACACAAGTTTTTCAATTTAAAAAATATTGGGGTGTAATTAAAAAAAATACTATGGGACAAAAACTATATATATTTAGTCATTAAACATATAACCACAAAACCACCATAAGTCTAACTCAACGGTTAGCAATAAAATAAAATCAAGAAAGAAAAATCTCAACTAGTTAAATCTTGTATTTTCGACCCAAAGATCGTGTGTTCAAATCCCATCCTCATATAATGCTAGAACTAATCAAGACAGTTTTCTCTAAAAGAAATATATAATTTTAATACTAGTATATATTGGGGCGAACAAGGAAAGATATACGACATTATTTTTCAGTACTCTTCGTTGAAAATGGAACTTAATTTTCAAGTCAGAACATAGTTCGAGTGAGTATGACATCTTAATACCATTTTAAAAGTCGATAAAATTTGATCTCATTGGCCAATTATTTTAACTTTAAAGACAAAGGAAAATTATTTTCAAAGTCTTCTCACCTACTTGAG